TGTCCGCCAATCTCTCATGAAAATCTAATCTAGAAGCGCTCCGCTCTCAGCACTTCTGCGTTTAGAGCAGGGTAGAAGTTGATCCAGCATAGTCTGTGCTTGATCAGATTCAACAGAGTGTTGAGGTGGCATTAGGGGTCTAATAAATCATCAGGACCATTATTTTGGGGCCATTATGAGCTGTAAAGACTTTTATAGAATCACCTATGATTCTTAACATTGTTGTTATCTATTCACTCGGTGCAACCTCATCTCATAAATTTTACCAAAAAATGGGTGAAGATCCCGATACTACCTTGATGGAGAAACAATGTACCACGAGGGGGCAATAGGCGCTAAGGTGCAGTTTTTGGAGGTTGGATATTGTTACTAGCGCGGCTTTCGGCTGAAAGTCACGCGAGGAGAGAGAGCTACTACAGGCGTTAGGGCATAGAAACAAAGAGATGTTTCGTTTGGGACATATTACGAAGAACAAAAATATGGAAGAAACTTGTAAAATTTGTTTTGAGTTAAGTTTAACGATTCTTTAAAAGGAAAAAAATAAAAAAGGGAGATCAAGGGCGTGCATGCATAGGATAGTAGATATACCTCTATTGTATGTTTATTACTTGTACTGCTATGTAAAGTACCATGATGTATGTATAACTTTTTCTCTGACAATAAAAATTGTTTAAAAAAATAAAATAATGGGTGATACTGTAAGGGGAATTTATCAAAACTGGAGCAGACAGAATCTGGGGCAGTTACCCATGGCAACCAATCAGCTTCTCTTTTTCATTTTCAAAGCTTAACGCGGACATTCTGGAGGGAGAAGCTGTTTGGTTACTTTGGGCAGCTGCTGCAGATTCCATCTGCTCCAGTTGTGATAAATTCTTTGTGTGTTTTTGTTTTTCTTACTGAAAAGATTGATTTGCAAAACAGTAGTGAGATTATCATGTAACAAAAAAAATTATTGTGTTTGTGCTAATAAGACCGCTGCCAGTCCCTTGTGCACAGGCATTGCTGCCGGCACCTGTGGACTGGCTGGGGACCTCAGCCATTGCCTGCATTGTGCACTGACAGCGACCGTTATGGTACACCTGGCGCCTATGTGGTGTACTGGGGGCGGCCATCTTGGTGGCAGCTCCTGTGCAGTGTAGTGGCTGTAGGAGTCCTTTTGCTGCCTGCCATACATGTGCTGAGGGGGATTTGGCGGCCATTTTGTGACTCCAGACGGGGAGGTCTTAGTATGCCTGGGGAGTGGGTGCTGGCGGCCATCTTGGAAGAATTTTTTTTACATGAGGCAGGCAAGTGTGTGACTGGGGGCTGGCAGCTTGTGTGACGATCCCGAGCTTTTGGCAGCAGTTCACCATGGGGGACTGAACACTGAGACCAGAGTGGGACCCTGCAGTAACCCTTTGTGCTGGTCTATCTACACCCTTGTAGGGCCCCTCCCTATAGTAGACGCAAAACGCTAAGTGACAGGGATTAGAAGGGTAGCCGGCTTGCTGCTGTTAATGGGCCTGGCGGGTTGACTGAGGTCTCCCCTGGGGACTCTGCTCCTGATTCTCCTCTTCTTTTACCTCTGTTGCCCCTTAAGGGGCACCTCATTCTTCCTGCCTTAAAGGAAGAATGCAAGGAAGATTTTGCAACCTCTGACAGTTTTTATAGGACAGTTTTCTGCCATGCTTGAAGCATTGGGCCAAAGAGGGTGTAAGTGTAGTCCTCTCCTACTTCTTTTAAATGTTTTTCAGGCAAGATCATGACTTCAGCTCTTATAATGGAAGATGAAGATGGAAAAGGTGGTGACTTGGAGAAAAGTGCATGACACCATATCAATGTTAACTGCTCAGTTAAGGGAAAGTTTGTCCATTGGCCCACCTGTTTAGGATCCCTCGAAAAAGCCCTCAAGACCCTTCTGTTGCATTTTCTGGTAAAAGAGGTGCTCTCTGTGGATTGGCAGCATCCTGAAAAAGTGTTTGCTTTTCTGAAGTGTTTCACCCTGCAATATCACAGCTTCCTTTACACTTGTTGGACCCACCTTACAGCCATCAGTGTCTGCCATGGAAGTTTGTCAGTCCTTGGTGGTTTGGACCAAACAGATTGCAGATGATCCCTGTTCCATCGCTACAGACCCTACGGTTTTTCAGAGATTGGAATCCCTGCCTTTGTGCTCTGTGTTACTGCATGGATGGCTTAGCTGCATGCTACATCAGTTTTTTTTAGGTTGGGGCTCCTTTCGGTCCAGATGCACTCACCATTATGGCTTAAGTTCTGGTCAGCAAAACCAGTGTGTACGAAATGTTTGGAGTAGATCCCATTAGCAGGGGAATGGATATTGGAGGAAGCTTTGGATGCCTTTATTAAGAAGGTGACTAGAGCTGCAGCTAACGATTATTTTCAAAATCGATTAGTTAGCCGATTATTAAGTTCGATTAATCGGTTAATCGGATAAATAAAATACATTTTAAAAAATGGCTCCAGTGATGGACTACTAGTTTGTATTGAGGTTGTAGTCCATCACAGGAGCAAGCTTGGAGCGGTGGAAGTAAAAAAATGGTGTGGTGTGCAATATAGTGAAATGGAAAGTGTAAAATTATACAGCAATGAATGCAGAATGGCAGCGGCTATAGAGGACTACAAATCCCAGCAATAGTACATTATACAGCGCAATGCAGAATATCACCAGCTATAGAGGACTACAACAAATCCCAGAAATAGTACATTATAGCTGGCGGTATTCTGCATTGCGCTGTATAATGTACTGTTGCTGGGTTTTGTAGTGCTCTATAGCTAGTGGTATTCGGCATTGCACCACTGTATAATGTATTATTGCTGGGATTTGTAGTCCTCTATACAGCGCAGTGCAGAATATCACCAACTATAGAGGAGTACAACAAATCCCAGCAATACATTATACATACAGTGTATAATGTATTGCTGGGATTTGTATTCCTATGTATAATATACAGCACAATGTACCATCAGCTATAGAGGAATACAAATCCCAGCAATACATTATAGAGCACCATGTGTGGGAAGGTGCAGGCTTACCTGAGCAGTCTTCCAGCAACTTGCTTCTGAGATCGGACCTGTCTATCGGCGGCTGTCATCCCCCCACACCTGCTCCTCCTTACTACATCTCCCCGCGTCCCTGTGCCGATCGTGGATGTGGGCGGGCGGTGAGTGTGAGGCGGGAAGGAGGTGCGGCGTGTAGAGCGCGGATGCGGGCGGGTCTGGCAGCGGTGAGCGTGAGTTGGGGAGGAGGTGCGGCGTGCAGCGTTTGTGGACCCGTGAACAGGGCCAACTGATCGGAAGCCGATTAATCAATTATTGAAAAAGTTGACAACTTTTTCAATAATCGATTATGTCGATTAGTTGTTGCAGCCCTAAAGGTGACTGGTAGTAAGAGTATGCTCTCGCCCCGTTGGTGGAAACCTTAGTTCCTTTTGTCCCTCTCACGCCTTCACCTCGAAGACCAAACCAAATTCCTAGCTTAAATGCAACCCCTGGACCCCTACACCTCCGAAGCCTGAAACAAAGCCCTCTTCACAATTAAGGGGCACCATCACCTTCACAGATTTTGTTGGTGCAGTCAGTAGTCCCTCGTGCATGCAAACATTATTTATTGTCCTCCTCCGCTCTGTTAATGCCATCCAACCTGTCCTCATCTTCCCTGTACCTGTAGCAGCTCTTGCATAAGGGTCGTTGTACTGTTCCACCGAAGGAGTAGTTTTAAGGATTTTCTTCCAAGCTGTTCACGGTTCCCAAACTAAACAGAAGTGTGTTCCATGCTGGACTTGACACCTTTCTCAATTTTCTTCAAGTTTGAAAATTCTGCATGGAATTAATGCGGTCCATCATTGCATCTCTTCAACAAGGGAATTTCCTTGTCTTAGTGGACATCAAGGGTGCCTACCTGCATGTGCCAGTCTTCACTCCCCACCAGAGAGTCCTAAGTTTTGCCTAGGGGAAGAAACACTTCCAATTCATGACACTTCCGTTCAACCTTTCCACGGCCCCACGGGTGTTCACAAAGCCTACTTTGTGTCTTTGTATCCTCAGAAATACTCTGTGGGAAGGATTCTAGCCTTTCTTCAGTTAGGGCTGGATCAATGGTTGGCCCTTAGTATGATTAAGGGTCAGATTCGTCCCTAGGTTTTTTTCAGCATTCTTTGACCTCTTGGTCCTTAGTTAGGTCCTTAGGTGTTAGTTAGGTGTTGCTACAATGTTTGCATGTGGTTTGTGCTGTACATGTCTATCTTGCCGCTATAGCCTCATTCAGACAATCTGATTTCTCTCTTTGGTGATCTTGATGTCTCTTTGGATCAAGCAAATCATTGTACAGGCTTACTCTGAAAGTATAGTGCCCCACCTTGGTGCAGGCACTTCCTACTACATCTGCCAGTGCCTCTTGGGCATTTTGGCATCAACCGTTGCAGATTTGTAAGGCCTCCACCAGGTCTTATGTTCACACGCTCACTAATTTTTACTAGGTGGATGTCCCCATCAAATTTAACTGAACTTGAGCAAAGTATGTGTAATGTTAGAGACATATCCCAACAGACTAATGGCTGTAATTAAAGGAAAAGGTGGTTAAACAAAATAC